GTATTATCCTTAATAGACTCGCCACTGATCGTGGGTCATTCGTTTTGTCTCATGCRATCACTTCTCATAATGTAAGTCAATACTGATCTAACCATGATTTGTATAAATCCTAGTTTTGATCATCTACAATTATGGCAGATGAATAAATAGGTTTGTCGATTGATGGCAATAATAATTTCTACAAAAGGAAATCAACACAAGAAATCGGATTAAAGAAGAAGAAKATTAACGGAGAAAATGATGAACAAAGAAGCGATTAGCAAGTTCCAAGCAATATTAACCACCACATTCATGCAGTAACAGATGTCGCATGCATAGTTCACTTTTTCTAATCAAATATTCGTTTTAGGTTTTTTTTTGCTTTCGTATCTTATGCTCTAGTTTGTAATTTTTTTATCCAACCATTTGTATTATAATGAATTGTAATTTAAATATAAATATATAAATTTTGATTTCATATACGATGACAATTATGAACATTAACAAACCAATATAATTACCATCCAATTAACGATTAAACTGTATATTATAATTTAATTGAAATAAAAAAATTCTATAACCGTCACTAAATAAGACAGTTTAAGACTATAATTTAGTTAGTACTTGTGATGGATTAACAACGATTTTTTCGCCATTTCTTGTGACGGTTTCAAACTATATTTCCATAAAATTAGTGACTGAATCGGGACGTTAGGAAAGTCACAAATTATAACAATTTTAGGACAATATTTTTAGWCCGTAATTTTGACAATTTTGTCACTAGTATGTTTTGTCGCCGTTTGTGAGATAATATTTACTAAATAATTTTGTCGCAAATGTTGTAACGTTTTTGTTACAAATAAAAATTTGCTACGAAATTATTGTAACCGTATAGAAATTATAGCAAATTTGTCACAATAATTTTATTGTTACGAATTTTTCTATATTGTGACAAAATTTATTATCACAATAATATTCTTTTCTTGTAGTGTTCTATTCCAGAAGCGAAAGGATAAAAAAGATCATCTTTATTGTTAGTGATTGCAGATTGTAAGCTTGAGCTTTTGACTGCTTGAATTCTTTAAAATTTTTCTTTTTAGCTGTGTATTATGAGCATTGTAATCATGATTATTTGTGCTCATTTTCTTTTAGGTTATGATATTGGAGGTTAGTTTTTTTTTTATTTGCTCATTTGTTATCGAGTTTGTTTGGGTGCAACTTACATTCGTGTATGGTTCACATATATATAATTCTAAAATATTATTTTTCTTTTATTCATGATCCGCGCTACGTGCGGTACCTGCCTAGTATTATATAAAATAGTTGAGTTGTTCTCACAAAAATTTGCCAACTCAGCACTTTTCCTTATGACACATAAGCTTTTATAAAATAAAAAATTTGTCAAGAATTTTATTTATGTTCGCAACTTTCAAAGTCAAATTATCTTCATGTTCCTCAAAATCAGCAATTTCTCCTTTACGAAGATCATGTCGTTCACTCTTCTTCCTTATGCACTATTCTCAAAAATAAAAATCAAATTTACTTGTGTTTTCTATATGAATTACGGATTTGTCTTTCAATGAAACTCATTTGATTATTTTTCGAATTTCTAGGAAATTGTCATCATCTCGATTCTTCATCTTCAACCATTATTCATATGATTTGTCAAAACTCACTTTCCATGAGAATCACATTCTTTTGTACAGGCTAATATCATTGATGGTATGGTTGGTGTGACTGAACTACAAGATATTATGAATTTTTTAATAATTTAATCCCTTTTTCTCATTTTTTCTTATTAGAGATGTTAAACAGGAAGATTTCTCAATGCTTGAAATACTCATGTTCGTGTCTTACATTTGCAGCTCGAATGCCAAATCTCATAGCTGCCTTTTCGGATTATACATGTTTTTTCCTTCACAAACTACATTACATTGTCATGATTCTCTCAGTTTTGAATATGCAGATTAAAAATCCATTCTGATTAAAAGTCCTCAAGACTTCAAGCTTAATGAATTGAAGGAGGCATGCTGGCAGGAACTTTTGTGAATGCGATTACGTCTATGGCTTCTATTTCTTCCCCGTGGTTGCAAAGAAGAATTTGCTTGCTCTTTCTCTTTTATTAACACGATGAGTGGAGGTTATAATTTATGTGTATTCCATGGACCTACACCTATGTCATGGTTTTGGAACAAGGGTTAAAATTTTCACAAGACATATGGAAGAAAAAAAAACAATAAAAAAATCTTCAAAGAGAATATTTATACAGTATTGGAGCATCGGTTCCAAGCAAATGGTTAGTCTTTGCTCTTTACCTCATTATAGCTTAGATCGATTCAGAGCTATGCCATGCTTGCTTTGGCGGGAAGGTAAAGATGTGGTTTTAAATTCAAATGTATTCTACTTAATGCATACCATGATGCACAATATTACTATAATCGTACCATGATCACCTTTTGTTATGTAAGCTGTGGAATACTATTATAGTTCGAAGAGTATTCGTGGATGAGAATATGGATGAGTAATCATAGAAATCTACGTCATGATATTAATGATGGCTATGAATAACTTCAATTCAAATAGACACATACTTTTTTAATCTAAGTATTATGCGGATCTTTTTTTGTGCAACCAATTCTTTCGTTCCATCAAACTTTAGATTACAAACGTAGGGGCATTAAACAATCCTTTTTCGCTTAAGAATCTGCAAGGACATAAATTCACTAATTTGTGAGATTACCAAAATCCATATTATAAAAACTCCGCGTGTATACGCGGATTATTACCTAGTTATAATAATCTTTGATCCAAATTCCAAACATTATTCGTGATAATCGGTTTAATATGCATGTAAGTGAAAAGTATATAAATTATATAATAAAAGTAAAAATTAAAGAAAAGATTTAAAAAGGGTTGACAACAAAAATATATAAACCACAATAAATTTAAATAAAAAATATGTATATTCATGCTTTAATTAATTTTAAGAATTATAATTGTTAACAAAGTCATGGTATAACTAAAATGAAGTATTACAGCATTTATGCATTCAATTCGTATGCAAGATTGCGTTTGAAGGACAATCGCAAGCTTCCCTAGAGAGTTTAAATCAGCTGATTTTATTTTGAAGGGTTTTCTGTAAATAAACACTTCAAGTGGTTAGGATTTGCAATTTTAATTTGCAGGTCAACCTTCTAAATAATCTGAGAGGTATCATAATTCGATCCCGAATCTGATTGTGGGTAACAAAACGACAACGTATTGTCTGGATTTCCTTTCCCTTAATCGTTCAGATCTTTTTCACCCGACGCCGACACCAACACCGACACCGACATATTTTCCTTTTCTTCTTCATTAACATCACCACCATCGTGTTCCTCAAAAGTTTCGTGTATCATTTTCCATGGTGTTCATAATTTCACTCCACAAGATCACCCAACTAATTGGGTTTTGAGTCGGAATTTATTCCGCATTGAGTTTTGGATGAAGAATCACAAACCAAAATCTTAGATTTTTCACCATAAGAGATGTGGAGTGATTTCATCTCATGATCTTTCTGGGTTTGATTTCAGTAAAATAAATAAGCATCAACACATATTTATATATGTATATGTTTGTCAGTATAGCATGGAGATTTTTGATATAAAAGTCACGAGTTCGATTCCCCATTTTACATTTTTTTATTTTTGAAATTTTTTCAAAACAACGTAGTTTTGTAATCTATATACAGTCATATACAGATGAAAAAAATCAATACACGGCTGAG